GTGTGTGAGGAGTCAAGTCGCACAATGATCTTTGAACATGTGACTCGGTCAGTCGGTGTCTAACATATCATGGGATGTTATCCTGGATCCGTCCATCCAACTGCTCACTTGTTGTGCCCACACAACAGGCTCCGTATCCATATGCAAACTGTGCAATTACATCTGATTTGGAGGAGAGTGGAAGGGGTTGTATGTGTGTGTTTTTGTGTATGTGTGTGGATGCCTGTGGTCGAGTGCAAGATGACTGGGTTTGGCAGAAACTATAAGTGTGTTTTACCAATATTGTCTGCGAACTTGGCTCAGTCAGAATGAAGCATGGTAAAATGTGAGCATACTACCCGAAATTTAAAAAAATGAACAATAAAGAATACTTTTCCATAATGAAGCATTCGTCAAATTATCTAAACCGACACCAACTACAAATCAACGTCTTTTTGCCCACCCCGTTCTTGATATGTAGATTCCCCTGTCTGTTTCAAAAACAACATTGATCACATTCTGACCAAATGAAGAGAAAACCGGTACTGAGAGAAAAAACCGCGACACGTTTGATTATGAATGAAAGAAAAAACTCCTAACTCACCCATGACTGTGTAAATGTTGCAATCAAATTGACGCAACAAATATTCCAGTGTCCACATCCGTTGAAGATGCACTTTCTCGCGACGCTCATCCAACGGTTCCTGGCGCATCATAGTTCGTATGCACGAGAGGATTTGTAGTGGAAACCAGTTCAGTGTACTCAACAGCGAGGCGAACCCGTAACTACCCAACGCCTGTGTGCGCAGCTTTTGCCCAAGTGTGCCCAAGAATCTGGCCAGTGGAATGTTCGCGCTCGAAGCGGCTGCATTGTACCTGACGAGACGGGCAAGGATGGGGGGGGGGGGGAGGCCGAGCAAGATTACAGTAGAGAACCCGGGTGTACAATCGAGATTGGAACTGTTTGAGGCTAAAGACGGAAGAAAAGCAAACTCTTCTCTTTTACAATGTATTAGAACAATGTGAAATCATCTATTTTGAGGGACGCAAAATCAGATTTTCCATTTTTACTAGTCTTTTTAGCATTATCAATTATTCAATATAAACTCAAACAATTAGGAACCAGTGGTCAGATCTCAGTGAGATGTGACATGCCGTAGGTTTATAGTCATCTTGAACTTTCTGCACGGTATGGGATTAGAAGATCATGAGCATCATCATTGTACAGCGACATACAGTGAGACGAACTTCACTGACCGATGCCAAACTCGTAATGAATGCAAGTTTAGTGCTAGAATTTACGGTAGACCGGGATTGGACCTATTTTCAGGGAGAGGGAAGAAGGTAAACCTCTATGGTCAACAGATAGAGAGAATGCACAATCGAGCTCTGCATACATACCGTTTCAACTATTCTGACCTGATAAGAAACGACAACAAGAACGCCATTGTTGTCCGTTAGTCGCCATATCCTTCAATGTCTCCAAATAATCGGTTTTGGAGTCTTTCAGACCCCAGCCTGGAAAGCGTGAAACACCTACTCTACCTAATGACTCTGTGTATTTCTTCCTGTTTCATGTCCACGTCACCTGTTGATTAGAAAATGGTGCACCCTGGAAGATTTAGCAAACGTCTCTA